AACTTTTTGGCCCGAGGGCCACATCTGGGTATGGAAATCGTATGGTGGGCCATGAATGCTCACAAAATTGAGCATTGGGGTGCAGGAGGAAGTGAGAGCTCTGGCTGGGGGGTACAGGCTCTGGAGTGGGGCCAGAAATTAGGAGTTCAAGGTGCGGGAGGGGGCTCCGGGCTGGGGCAGGGAGTTGAGGTGTGGGAGGGGGCCAGGGATGTAGGCTCTGGGCGGCGCTTACCTCAAGCAGCTCCTCCCAGAAGCAGCAGGATGTCCCCCCTCCAGCTCCTACATGGAGGTGCAGCTAGGCAGCTCTGCGCACTGCCCCGTCTGCAGGCACCACCCCTGCAGATCCAATTGGCCCTGTTTGCTGGCCAATGGGAGCTGCAGGGCGGCGTTTGTGGCAGGGGCAGTGTGCAGAGCCCCTTGTCTTCCCTATGCATAGGAGCCGGAGGGGGGCTGTGACATTGCTTCCGGGAGCCATGCGGAGCAAGCCCTCAACCCCACTCCCTGGCAGGAGCTCCAGGGCCAGATTAAAACGTCTGAAGGGCCGGATGCGGCCCTCGGGCCGAAGTTTACCCACCACTGGTCTAGTTGGACCTCCTGTATAACAGAGGCCATAAAACTTCCCAAAAATGATTCCTAGAAATATTTCAAGAAAGAAAAGTCCAAACTGAACCAGCTGCAGAAAAGGGCTGCCAGGATGCTCAGAAAAATGAGGAGCTAAACTTATGAAAAAATTTTGCCCAAGGAGAGTTCAGTGGCAGAGCTGGGATTCTAACTCAAAGCTACCATTCTCTTGTCTTACACATCCCTCCCTTCTCCCTTGTAGACCATCCTCTTCTCTTTGGGGGTCAGCTGGCTAAATGCCAAATGTGACCGGTAGAGCAGTACGAGAGCAAAAAGTCTACCCACTGTTGTGAAGTTTTTCCCAGCTCTGCTGCAGCCCAAGGTTGCTGTGCTGATCCAAGGCCCCAATGTTCTGAATCAACTGTTATTCAGAAATGATAATGGGATCTAGCAGGTACCCACAAAAAGTTCAGTTACCTTTAAACCTGCTGACGTATGAGGTTTATGTCAACTACACCCATGTTCCACTCTCTTTTCCCATTGTCCCACCTCCAGGGGACAGTATTTCTTCAAATCACTAAGGGCTTTCTGGGAATTAACGATGAGTCAAAGAGGCAAAGCTCTCTTCTTTGATCCATGCTGCATATCTCTCTTCCACTGTTCGTCTGAGACATAAATTGAGGTCCTTACCAGACCATATGATCATTAAAGTTCCCATACCAAATTTTAGAAGAGCAGGATCATTAACCATAGTGTCCAGGCTGAATTCCACATCCAGTAATGACATTCCAACCGCCTATACAGCCTGCAAGTTCCACTGGACAGGACAGTGCCCTTCCCTTCCTGTCCTAAATGATGGGCTGCAGAGACACCAATTTTCCATTAGTGTAACTCCACTAGCATAAATGGAATTACTCCTTACGGTGGTGTAAATGAGACTCTGTATTTCCATCGCCTATTTCACAGAGACAATGTGAGGTTTAGTTACTTAATAGGCCTCATTACACCACTCTCCCTTACACTGATGCAAATCAAGAGTAACACACATTTGAAAGTGGTGGAGGTGAAATCAGAATTTTGCCCCTGGTTCAGTTCTCCAGTTTGGAGAGACATTCAGAAATCTGGACGCTTATCTGAATTCTCCAAACCTTTGAATCTTAAAAGTTGGACAGCAAATCTTACAAGAATGAGTTCTCGCCATAGATCTCCAGTTCATTCTGTGTGTGAACACATTAGAAACATCACAAGAACCGCTTTTCTCGTGCTCCTTAAATGTAGATATGCAAATATTTAAAATAAATGAGCGGAAAGGTCAAAGCAAACTGTTTTTCAAATTTGGAACAAGAGATATGGCTATTTTGGGTCTATTTCAAATGAGGATCAACAGATTAGGAGAGTTCTCTTATTTTCCCTGCCAATTTTCTTATGCCTACCTGGAATACATCCGGCTACCCAGAGACCCAGACATTGGATATTTTTTATATCTGCGCATTTCTAATATTACATATGATTGACATTAAGGAGATACAAGTGTTGTATAGTCCATAGATTTAATTCCAAGATATGGTGATAAATAACATGAAGACCAGAACTCATAAGGCACTCAAACCCTTGTCATTCACAGGAGCTTTGCAACACCTCATTGCCAGCGCCTACCTTGCCCCTTTAGTAGGTTAGTGACCTTGGACAGGTGGACTAGGAGGGTTGTTTCCCAGCCACTGATCTGTCCAGAACACATAATCCTAAGCATAACTGCCAGCAGCAAAAGACAATGCAGGCAGCTGCATTGTTCTACAACTCTGGCTGCAAAGACTATCAGCTAGAAAGATGAAGCAATGTCACAGTTTAAAGCTTAACACACGCTGATGCTTTAGAAATTTGCCATTGAATCAGGGATTGTAAACCACCCAAGTACTCAGAACCTGAGATAATGGCACTGCAAACCACATGGGTATTTAGAACTTGGGATAACAGGCCTTCTAAAGCACCCTGGCACTTAGCACCTAGGATAACAGGCATCAATGATTTGTACAGCATATATAGGACCCTGGCACAGATAAAATCCTTCCTACTACAAGGACCCAGGGATGCCTGGTATAGGATATCTAGCTATCCTTGCACTTGGGAGGCTTGGTATTTGAAAATCATCTTGCCATGAATAGCCTCGCCTGGGTTGGTATGTCTACTCTCCCTGGCATCAAAAGACTCACAGAGTTGGAGGCCTGGTGTTGTAATTCATCTGCATACTAATAGTCTGGGCTTCCTAGAATATATAAGCACCTAGGCATTACTAAAGCAAAAGGCAAACAAAGCTAAGCCCCCAACCCTCTCTCATTCCCTTCCATAACCAAAATCCAGTCCAGCAAATTCAGTTCACAGTTATTCCCAGGCTGAGCGTTTATACACTGTCTATGACCAACACTGGATGGAAACTAAGAGCTAGATTATGGCCTGTGTTGTCTGGCTATGTAGGGCCTCTGAGCTGCTTCCCTTGACCTTGGGTCCAGGAGTCTGTAGTCAGGTGGGCACTATTGCCCAGATCCTCCCAATGGGAGATAGGCCCAGATCCTCACAGATGTTTAGGCATCTATGTGCCTGCTATTTCTTGCCTCAAGCAAGTGGATGGGGAGTGGCTGAAGAAGGGCAGAGAATGGACAGAGCCTTGTTTAATCTCATCCTCTCCCCTGCACAGCTCAGAAGTAGTAAGCAGTTACCTGCGGACAAAGGCCATAGCAGTGAAGGAATTGTGACTCTCTGGGGCGTTATTACGGCCTAGAGATTTTCTAGGTGTGTTGGGGCAGCTATATACCACCCCTCCCACAGGGCAAATTGGAAAAGAACAATTGAGTCCTAACAAACTACACAGAATTGGCCCATGATTAGAGGGACTGATAACATTAAAAAGGCCAAATATGTACCATCTGGCTTGGCTCCATTTGCAGCTAGGGGGAAGACAGGCTAACACACTACTGGAAGGCTGTAAACACCAAGCATGCAAAGGAATTACTGAGAGCGATATATTGCCAACCTCAAATATTCAAAAATCATGAGTCAGGCCCCTAAAAATATCGGACCGGTTTAAAAATCATGAGATTTTAAATAATAAATTTGGGGTTCTCTTTATTTTCCATCTGCTTTTTGAGCCTTTAGGCTGTACTTGAGTCAGGCTTTTCTCCACAACCATGAGAGCCAGAAATTTACTTTTTAAAAAAATGAAGGCTTAGATGCTCACCTAATCACAGGAATCCAGCACAGGGGGCTTTCAGAACAAAACCTGAATATCGACACTCGCAATAAAATCCCAAGAGCTGCAAACGCTGAGGTTACAATTGCCAGTTGAAGCAATGGGATATAAAGGAAACCACAGGCTGACCCGAATGAAACATTTCCTTACAATGCAACCTATCAGGCTGTGATCTGTGAGGTTCTACTGGGAAATTGGAGAAACCTCGTGGCGGGCAAAGCACTGGAGAATATGCTGGAGGGAACAAACCTTCTCTAGCAGGAAGATGGATGAGATGCGACCTCTCTGGTCTTTTCCATCTCTAGTTTCTATTGCTCTATGAAATATTCATAAAAGAAGTGCTGACGTGCTGTACCCTTAATGCCGCAGTCTGCTAATGCCATCCAGCATCTCTGCTGCACTGGAAATCAGATTCTCAGCTAATAAACTCACCAATGAATCAATCAAATCCTGTTACAAGGTTAATCTATGGGTTGTTATTAGGGCAGCAGGATGTTATGAAAAGTCATGGCATAGTCATAAAAGAGAGCAGGGAAAGTTTATGAAAGTTTATATATTTAAAAAAATCAAAAGTCACAGGTCATATGATTTTAATCAAAATGTCTTTTTCCTTTGCAAATCTCACTTGATAAAATTTAATTAATAACCAAAACCCACTGACAGCTGTTCTCCCAATGCAGGGAGATTCAGCCATGCAGCAGTGCTGAGAGGGGTCTGAGAGAGCAAGAGAGCTACCCACAGACCAAATCAATCACGGAACCCAGGATCACCCTCTGGCCATGTGACAAATCACTGCCCCTAATTACGGGACACATTCTGCATGGATGTGCAAAAAGGAAATGTATAAGGAGTTTCCACCTGTTCCCAGTTTGTGGTCATGTACAGGGTTTGGCCACTACCTCCCTGGGGAATGAAATACCTGCTTGCTCCATTCTGGTGCTTCCCTCTCCCCTGGGGCTAAGTGTCTGTAAGAGGGTAGGGTGAGGATTACTCCATTAATATCTGTATAGAACTTTGAGTTCCTCAAATGGAAACCGCTATAAAAGAGCACATAATTGTGACCATGACTATGACTATTTTACTATTCATTTAATTGTACTGTAGTCTTATGAAATCTCTGCTGGAGATTTTCCTGTTTGTCATCTGAAATAGTATTTGGTTAGAGACATTTCTTTTCCTTTTAATTTCTTCCCAGTGTTCCTACATCCCCAAGTGTGGCAAGAACTACGAAGAGTCCCTGTCACTTGTCAGTGTTGTACTGGAAAATTTCAGGAAGTACCAGCGCTTCTTGTGCTTTTACGACCCAGAAGGCATTCAGAAGAATGTGATATTAACCAAACTTTACAGTTCCAACGTGCTGTTCCACTCGCTTTTCTGGCCAACATGCATGATGGTTGGTGGGGTTGCCATCGTTGCCATGGTAAAGCTGACTCAGTACCTCTCCCTCCTCTGTGAGAGAATCCAAAGGATCAACAGATAAAAGCAAAAGCTTCTCTGAGATGTATTTCAGCTAAAATACTGTTTTTTCATTCTTCACCAAAGAACCTTAAGTTTGTAACGTGCAAGTCTGTTATAAGTTCCTTACTATATTCTTATAAGTAGAGCAATAATGCAAAAGCTGTTCTATATGCAAACATGATGTTGTTATTATGCAGACAACAGGAAAGAAATACTGTTTGTGTTGGTTGTCTATCTGATCTCATTTTATGCTGGAACTAGCACTTCTTTCTTTTCTACAGCCAAAATAGGGCTCGGTGTGACCATTTGCCAAGCTTTGTCAATGAACACATCAACATTTCAGTGTAACGTTCTGGGGGAAATTCACCCCGTGCAGAGGTCTAGCAAAAGGCCTGGGCATCATTTATGTCCCATTTAATCCTCAGGGCATGCAACGAATGGCTCTGGAGGGAATGAGGGGAAGAAAAGTATAGAACCTATGTCTTTTTATGGTAAGAGGGAATAGACTGGATGTATACACTACTGACAGCTTAAGTGGGACTTGCATGTTGCTTGTGCTGGCTCTCCCTGCAAAGGGGAAAATTTCACCCTCTGGTATTTTAGGTCTTTTGTAAAACACCTTGGAGATGGATATTTGCAATATGTTTTCCTCACATCACATCATCTACAGAAGCTACAGCCAAAAACAAAGAAAATTCAACCAATTTCAGTTTCTACTCCAAGCTGAGCACTGAGCCCTATTGCTGGAGATGGGACCAGACACCTTATGTAAAGGTTTATTACGCATTTGTCTTGTATTTGCTACCATATCACTGTAAAGAAAAAGAAAAACACAATCAGCTATTTTTTCATTTTTTACTTCCAACTATTTTAACTTTTTTTACTTGATTATATAGATATATAAAAAGAAAAGGCTACATAATATCTAATTGTGTATTGTAACTTGATTATGTTTTTTTTTTCCTTTTGACTAACTGGAAACTGAGCAGTATAACTCCTGTATTTATTACATTCAAACCCTGGAAAAGACCATAACATCAATGAGCAGCAACGTGGGATCTTATCCAATATTCACACTGACATTTCAATCAGATGGAGGTCTCTCTTACTGTGACATTTGTATTGAAAAAAATCTCCTCCACTTCATTAGATCTATTAATTGAATTGTTATACAATAATCATAATATTTCTGGAAATTATGATCGTTATGCTGTGCTGGCTGAAGTGACTTTCATTCCAAAATGTCCAAGTGTAATATGAGGTATTGGAAAATTTGAGATGCAAACTAATATGTAGTCCTAGCTGTCATGTATGTTCCATGGGGGCTTTACCGATGTAATTCCATGCACACTATGTGAACATCTTTGGCATAATTTATTTTTATTTCCCTAGTCACAACTTTCCATGTTGTTATACTCTACAGACAATCTCAACGTTTTTTACCTTGCACCTAAACTGAAGGACAAATTTGAGGCAGTCTCTCTGATTACCCCATGAACTTACGATAGAATATTTATAGGAAATTATTTACAGGTACATTCAAAAGAAGGAGATTCCACTTTTTTCCCTTTTTTTTGCCAAAAAGATAGCAGAAGGAGAAAATCCAGAGTCTTCTGTCTAGCTCATCCATATATCAGTACCTTCTTCCATGATGTAGTATTGAAAACTTTAAGGTGTTACAAGATTTTACAAATTGTACAAGTGTAGTCGGAGCTGTAAAAATAAGTTCACAGCAGTGGATTTAACCTGCAATCTTGTAATCCATGGTATGATTTTTCTTAGGCAAATAAATTCCTGGGGGTGGGGGGGTGTAATCAGGGCTCCAAAAATATGTAATAAAAATATTAAATTAAATCTTCAGGATTTCAATACCTTTTCCATTCAGAACTGGTTTGTTTCAACGACTTTTTTTTTAAGATTCTTTTGCCATAAAACCAGGATTGCAAACCATCTGTAACATGAGAGGGAGTTTGTAAAAGTTTCTTTGTGAAAGCTATCTATTTATCTATTGTAGGGTTTTGTACAGCCCTTCACCATGGTATCTGGGCAACTTTCACATTTTTTAGATTGACAGTGGAGAAGCCTCTAGTGGGCTTCAAGAAGTCGCCTTTTAAATTCAAAAGAACTCACAACATTATTTTGTACAAGGCCAGAAAATCTGATTGATGCTTTATTTTCTCCCCTGGAGAGTTCCAACATAGAATAGATGGAGATAGAAGTCTGTAGAGGAGACGAATCCTAACACTCCGGTGCAAAGGGATTAATCAAGATCAAGGGCAGCTGAGGGAATGTTTCTGTTGGTACATTGCCTGGCTTTTACTAAAGATACTGTAAGAGAGGGCAAAAAGGTATGATATGTGCCCCCAAAGTGGAGGAGGAAAATCCTCAGAGTTACAATCGGAATTTTGTAAGCAGGAAACCGCAAGAAGAGCTATCAAGAGCTCCATTGCATCTGAATTACAGGAGCTGCCACAGGTAAGAGCCAGTTGTGCCCAACAATATCACAACAGAAGGAGGAAGAGTGAACACAACTGCTATTCCAAGTAAGTGCACGTGCAGTAGTGGGAGGCAGAAGACTCTGCAAGGCAAGCAGAGATTCCTCCAGTTACAGAAGAAGAAGTCTGGGCCAAGCAAGAGCTGAGGCACTTGCTTGGCCCAGACTGGTAGGAAGTCCTTTGCAGTTCATTTTTAAAGCAGGTTGGGAGGTGGTGGGGCCAAGGACTGAGCCCAAAGTTGGAAGTCAAGAAATCCTGAGCTCTGTTCCTGGTTCTGCCACTGACCTGTGTGACCTTGAACAAGTCACTTCACCTCTCTGCTGCAGTTTCCTCATCAAATAGGGATAATATTTGCTGAACCTACCTTACAGGGAGGTGCAAGGATTCATTGACTAGTGTTTGCGCAGTAGTTTAAATATATAAAGGACTACACAGTGTAATCACTAATGATTATTATTAAAGCATATCAGAAGAGGGTCCAAAAACAAAGGAGGTAGCCAGGCTAGGCCCACCCCTGTGGCATTTAGCAAAGGCCTCTTGGCAGGTGTCTAAAATGTAGCATGCCATGAGAGATTTTATTTTCGTTCATTCAAAAGTGGATGCTTGCTCCACCAGCAAAAGAGGCTGGTTTGTGTTCAGATTTGCTATCCTAAATTGCCCCTTTTCTTATATAAAAACTTCCGTGTCTTCTGCAGCACTACCTACATCAGAGGAAGAACTCAGCACTCTCCACTGAAATTGTTGCAAATCAAACATTCTGCCCAACACTATCTAGCAAATAGCTGTAATAACACAGGATTCTTTAGGAAATTACTGACACAACCGCTGGCCATTTACATGATGGTTTACGTGATCGGCAATAGAGTAGCTCTTTAGTTCCGTGTGTGACATTTTAGGGGCAGTGATTGTGCCACATTTTGTTTCTAGTGACAGGAAGCTGATTACGCTTGACATTTACACATCAAATGCACTTTTCAACATGTTGTGCCATAAACATTTTACCAGCGTTCCTGTGGGTGAAACATCTTGACACTGTTGCAGCCTGTAATCATTTTGTTGACATTAACAGACAGATCTGTGGGATAACAAAATAACTTGAGTAATTGAATGGAGTGAGGTAAAACAATAATTTAAAAGGAATTATCAGTCTGATCACTGGCACAGTTAGCCCCCTACTGAAGTATCAGCATTTCAAATACAGTTTAGGCAACTCCTGCTGCCCCGGAGAGATTAATTTCAGTCAGAATATTTGCCTGAGCTATTTCTTTCTCTACCTCATTTTACCCCCTCTTGCTCATTTCCCATGAACAGGAACTGAGATTACTCTGGGCAGATCAGTTGGAGCCGAACGTCCCCATTGACTTTCTACACAGCGTCATCAACATTATCTAGTGGGAAGAGGAAGCAACTGGGATTCACAGGTTCTGTGTGGCTCTTCCACTGACCATGACCAACTCAATTAACCCCTTTGTGCCCCAGTTTGACCATCTCTGAGGCATGTGGTGAACATTTAATGCTCATAAGGCACCTGAGATCCTCTACTGGATGCTATATAAAGACAAAGGGCCAGATTTACAAGTATTTAGATGCTGTAAGATATAGATAGGTGCCGACTGGAATTCACAAAAGCATCTATGCCCTGGTCTATGCTGCAGAGTCAGGTCGACATAAGGCAGCTTACGTTGACCTAATTCTAAAATGTCGCTCCCGCTGACGTAACTCGCCCACTACGCAGACTTAATAACTCCATCTCCATGAAAGGCGTAGCGCTTAGGTCAATGTAGTTAGTTCGAAGCAGCGTCAGTGTAGACCCTGCATTGCTCACATCTCTCTGCCTTTCAGAAGCAATCCCACAATGCCCTACACTGACAGTTAAATCAGCGCACGCGCTCCTGGTGAAGACGTGCACTGCTGACCCAAGGAGTGTAGTGTGGACATGCAAAAGTGATTTAATTACTGGGGTGGCTATATGTGGACATAACTTAGGTTGACATAATTTTGTAGATTAGACATACCCTACGTGAGTTAGGCACCTAACTCCCATAGACTTTCAATGGTTTTGATTAGGTTATTTAATTTGTAACTTCCTTGCTGTAACACCCAACCTTGAAACTATGCTGCAAACCTTCCCGCAGTATTTTGCCAGAAGGCTACTGCTTACAGCAGGTTTACTAGAGTGGTACAAGCCACCACAGTAGAACATTAGAGTATTTACTAATAAGGAGCAAAACAAAGTCAGACTCTGTCTGAATGACTTTTTACCTTGAAAATGTCCCGGAGTTTCAGGGAGTGGGTGTTTGGGGTGTGTAAGGAAGGCAGAGATCAGGCCCTTGGAAGTGAGTGAGCCTGCATACCCCAGTGGGTGACAAATGTGAGAAAATGAAGTAGAACAATTCCAGAATCTCAGGGAGGGAATGGCAATTAAAACCCAAAACACAAGTGCTGGAAGACAGCACAGGCCTTTGTCTGGAAAGCAAGAGTCCTGTATTCTATAATCTTGAGCAGGTCACTTGGCCTCTGTTTCCCCTCCCATCCTTTGTCCATCTTGTCTATTTAGGTTGTAAGTTTCTCAGAGCAGGGCCTATCTCTTAGCTTGTGTTTTTACATTGCCCAGCACAACAATGCCCTGATCTTGGTCACGCCCTCTATGTGCTATTGTAATACAAATGGTAGTAATAATGAGCTAGACCAGGGATTGGCAACCTTTGGCACGCGGCCCAACAGGGATATCCACTGGTGGGCTGGGACAGTTTGTTTACCCGCAGCATCCACAGGTTCGGCCGATCGCAGATCCCACTGGCTGCGGTTCGCCATTCCAGCCAATAGGGGGCTGCGAGAAGCAGAGTGGGCCGAGGGATGTGCTGGCTGTCACTTCCTGCAGCCCCCATTGGCCTGGAACGGCAAACCACGGCCAGTGGGAGCTGCGATTGCCAAACCTGAAGATGCTGCAGGCAAACAAACTGTCCCGGCTCGCCAGCAGATTTCCCTGATGGTCCACGTGCCAAAGGTTGCCGATCCCTGCGCTAGACAAAGTCATTCTCCTCTGGCTTCCTATTTCCTAGGCTGCATTGTAAGAAGGGTGGCCTCATCCCCTGGAAATAACTACACATACACACACCCCAATATGGGGGCCATGTATTAAATACTCACTCTGATACCCACTGAGGGTTCTCAGGACAAATACATAATAGTCATTCCGAACCAGCCAACTTTGATTTACACCCTGTGCAAACCCATTGGCTTCAACCAAGTTGCACAAGGATGCAGAATTTGGCCTGCTGGCTGGTAGAGCTAACCAACCCCCACCAATACAATTCCAGTTGCCCATTTTTGTGGTGGGGGTACCAGAAGCAGCCCCCAAGAACGGAGATAAACTATAAAGTCAACTGAAAATATACTCGCCCTGCTGAAAAAGCAGTAAGGACTATTCCAGACGTGTCCAAGATTATGGTAACAACACAGAACTGGACAGGCACTTCCTTTAGCAACTCTAGAGGTAGCTAGCCACCCGCCATAGTCCTAGCCTCTGCTACCCAGTGTGGTAAGCAAACAGCCAGAGTCAACTCTGCAAACATACTAACCGTTCCTAATTATTTCCATAAACAAAAGACATGTTTATGAAACAGCAGACCATATACAGTACATTGTTATACTAAATAAAGCCTGGGCTCTGAGATCCTCCACCCTCCCCTGCCAGGGTCCCAGAACCCAGCTCCGGCCTGAGCCCAAACATCTACACTTCGATTTTATAGCCCCTGCAGCCTGAGCCCCAGGAGCCTGCGTCAGCTGACACAGGCCAGCAGCAGGTGTTTTATTGTAGCGTAGAAATTACCATCAGTGGGAGGTACTACCCCAGGCTTCAGTGTAACCAGGATAGTGCTCTTAATAATAAAAATAATCCCTAGCTTTTATAGCACTTTTCATCAATAGATCTCAAAGTACTGTATGAAGGTCAGTATCACTATTCCCATTTTGCAAATGGGAAAACTGAGGCAAAGGGAGGTGGAGTGACTTGCCCCAGGTCATGCAGCAGGCTAGTGGCAGAGCACATAATTGACCCTTAATAGTGGTCCTAGGGTATTATACACTATGCTATACCGAGATGGCTCAGCTGTCCCTGGGGAATAGGGATTTCTAATTTTGTTAATATTTGGGCTGAGCCGGTATATCCTAAACTCCTATGTGTTTTTCTATAGGACCATACATCTGAGGCTCACAAAATATTTTGCAAACATGAATTAATCAAGCTTCACAACCCACCTGTGAAATAGGGGAGCATTAACTGTGCCTGCATTTCACATAGGTAAGTTGAGGCACAGAGCGTTTTAGCAATGTGGCCAAGGTCACACTGAGACTGGAGGTCACACATAACTT